AGAATTTGGCTAGAGAATCGCCGGTGACACAAGCAAGAGGAGCTTTCCAAGCTCCGCACCTGAGGTCAGCAGCAGCATCTGCAGCTCCTCTTTCCCAGCAGCATCCTGCTGTGCTGGGCTCTGCGGGCAGGGTCGGGCAGCGACAGGAGCTTGGCCGTCTCCTACCTGCCCGAGTCCCCTCGTTCATTAACGCTGGCCACGTGCGTTTCAGCTTTGAGTCACCCTCGATGTTCCGTGTGGCATTGGCACCATCGCACACATGTCTCGTTCTGTACAGTGGAAGGAAGGGGAGGACAAGGATACACGAAGGGCTGTCCAGAGTGTGGCAAAGCTGGAGCTCTCCACGTGCTGCAAGAGGGACCGATTTCATGATGGACCATGCAAACCATTCCCGAAGCAAGAGAGCCGCCACGGAGGGAAAAACATCCCAATCCACCTCCCATCACACACACACGGCTCAGACAAGGATTCTCCCTCAAGGGCACAATCACATTTCTGGAGCTACGGGATAGCCAGGAGGAAAAGAGAACAAGGGCTGGCCGCCCCGGGGGGGCTGTGTCAGCAGGCCAGTACCAGGGAAAACTGCTCCATTTCTGGCACATGGGACTCATTACGAGCAAGGCTTATCCGAAAGCTTCCCACCCCGAGTGCTGCTGTACCCCACGAGTTTCCCATCCTGTTGCATCCCTAAGTACACACGCTCCATGCTCAGGGCTGGAATTCCTCCAGCGCTGCAGCAGGACAGGGAACGCGGGATCGGAGGTGGAAATCACGTTGCTGTCTGCACGCTCCCCCTGAGCCCCACTGCGTGCTTGGAGCTCGTGGTGGAGATCTGCTTCATCACATGCCTTTCACCTCCGTCTCATAAATGCAATGCACGAACTTCTTTATTTTATCTGATCTTCTAGGGCTAGTTCTCTTGACTCCACTCAACAAACGCACTAGCAGTTTCTCCATCTGCAGATATGTCACTTAAATGGGATTACGCCAGTAGCTGGGATCGCGCTGTTGCATAGCTGTGCATCACAAGCGGCTGCAAACTGGTTTAATTTCAAATTCTGACTTTCTTCAGATCTGTCAGTACAGATCCTTCAGCTTCAGCAAAACTGCCGGGTGCAACCGAAGGCAGGATCTAGCACAGAGCACTCTGGAGCTACCAGCTGCGCATGAATAATCTGGACAAAATGCCCCTTTAATGGGAACAGCCAACAGAAGGAACAATTCTGCTCCCATGTGCAAGAGCACGTCCTCCATCCGCTGCCTCTGGTGAGCTCCGCGCCGGGCAGGACGCTCCTGCTCCCGGCTCAGCCACGCTCCGGGCACGGGAGATGGGAGAGGTGGAGGCCACGGCAGGGCCACCGGGTCACCTCATCACGCGGTTGACGTATCACAGCCCGCAGGAACAGGACGGCCACTCGTCCCAGGCTGAGCAGCAGCACATTGCAGGTCACAGCGCAGCAGGTCACTGTCCTCACGCCGGTTCAGGAGCCCCTTTCCCAGGCTCCGGCACAGGGAAGCCAAATACCCACTTGCCAGCTCTGCCAACTGGTTTAGCTAAGGCGCAAGGCGGGTTTGGCCAACAGGTGCCACCTCCACAGAGACAGCAGGTCCCCTTTGGGCTGGGGTCACAGCACGCTGCACGGTATTTCTATTTGATTTTATCCTGATTTTATCCTTCAGACAGGCTCCTATTGCAGCTTTAATCTGGGGAAAAAAAAAAAAAAAAAAAAAGCAGCTCTCTGCTATCTGGGAAAGTACTTACAGTGTAATTAAGTCATCCAGTCCTTCATTTGATAAGGACTAAACAGATCGAGTTCTCGCACCCCCTCCCTCCGAGGCATTTTCCAAGCCCTTCCGCATGCCCGCCAAGTTCTCCATATCCTTTTAAAAGTCTTGATATACTAAAATTACTCATATAGCTTTAGTATCTGGTCTCGCCACTGCCCTAAATAGCAGAGATCACCTCCCTGCCCTCACCCCTTCCCCTCTGATTTCCTGTGTGTCTAAAGCTCACATTATCCCGTGTTAATCTGCTCTCAGACCTGCAGTCACTCTATTCCCTTGGCCATCCAAAGCACTTGCTCGGCTTTTTCCACGGAGCAGCCTCTGTGAGCAACTCAAAACAACTGCGATGACCTCAAATCCTTGCCAGGAGCAGGGGCCTGGTTTACAGCAGCAATGCAGCACCCACCATCACCTGCAGCGAGCTGAGCTGGAGGGGAGGATGATCGTGGATGTGTGGGCAGGACACGAGGTATTTAAGCTTGACCGTTGCCCCTCAGAGCCTGCTGTGTGTGGCCAGCCTGGCTGGGTCATCCCTTCCAGCTGGTGTCCAGCACAACCGGCCCCTTCCCTGTGCTCCTCCCGGGAGCTGCCAGTGGGTACCTCGGAGTCTGCTCAGGAAGAGCCGCAGATTCCAACTCCCTTCAGGAGTGCTGGGGAAAGAGCAGTCCCTCTCCATGCATTAGGATAAAGTTACCCTGATGCGATGCAGCCAGTTTTGCTGGAGCGGTTTCTTGCTTAAATCTACCCATCTCTATAGCCACTGACAGCTCTCAGCAACAGCCAGAACTCCTGGAAGGAGGAAAATGAGGCTTTGAGTGCGAGGAAATGCTCCCCTTCGCTTCAGTGTCACTGCCTCTATGATATCCAAGAGCTGTTCACTGCTCTCTTGCACAAGAATTACAGCCTCCTCCTGGTTCATGCCAAGCCCATCTCAGCTTTCAAGGCCACAGAGGTGGACATGAAGCACTTTCTGAAGGTTCTTCAGTGCTCCCAGCTAAAATAAATGAACTAAGTGGTGTTAATTGAGCTACACACTGACGTGAGCACTCCAAACCCATCTCCAAGTTAGAGCACAGCGCGGGAGTGAGAAGTTTCACACCGAGGGGTGCAGTCCACACAGCAAACTGTGCTTCCTGATGCACGTATGCGAGGCAGCAGCTGGCATGGGAGCCAAGCAAAGCACCCAAAACACCAAACACGGCTGCAGAGGCCCTATTTCCATCAGGTCATCTATTCCCTGTTGTGGACGATGCACAGAGAAGTCTCTTCACTCTGATTAAAGACAAAAACATAGGTCAGGTGCGACTGTACAGCTCAACTCCGTCGAGAGAAGCAGCAGGTTGCAAACTGTCCTGTGCAGCAGCCAAAAACTCCTCCGGTTGCCTCTGCTTCTAGCTGTGAATGTCTTCCATTTTTTTAAGAGCAAAAGGGGAAAACGAAAGAAGAAACAACTTGGTCACGCGTGTGAGATCCCAGCAGCACCGGCCCCATGAGCTCTGGGGCTGTGGGACACGGACACCCCATCCTTGCAGGCAGCTCCTGTGCGTTGCTGCACACAGCGCAGCCCCAGCGGGTGCACAGTTTGCTGCCAATGTGTTTTTAGGAGGCTAAAAAAAGGCAATCTCGCCTTTCCCCTCAAACCAGCTTTGCTGGGCAGGGTGAAAAATGTTCTATCCTCCAGCATAAAGCCTTGCTGAAGAATCAAAAGTGGATGACTGGATGGCCGGGCCAGCCCCAGGCTCATAAGTGACTTGCACAGAATGAACAGCCCAGCAGCTCGGGCACCCCTGGGCCCTGTTGTGCTGCAGCCAGGGAGCCCAGGAGGGATCTCAAGGCAGGGGCTGCCCGTGTCACGTTGCCACCAACCCCCCAGCACTCACGAGTCGCTCAGGACTGGGCACTTGTCTTTATGTCACTTTACTCCACGCCGCTTTCCCAAACCACCAGAAGATACCAGCGGACAACAGTGAACCTTTACACATATTAGTTATATGGGAGTACTTAATCCCCAGAGGCAAGTTTTTAAAAACATTAGCTTAGTCTCAAAGACATAGTCCTTATGCCTCCCAAGTCCAGCCCTGACACACGGAACAGTTTTACTTGGGAAAGTTTCTCAGAAATCTCCTTGCTGGCCACAAGGCCCTTCCCAGTGCTCTGAGAACCAGGAGCTGCCGGGAAGGCCGAGCGCCCGGCCCCAACACCCCAGAGCCACCTCGAGCGTCCTGCAGCGGCAGGAAGGTGCCAGAAAGCCCAGGGGAGCCTAGAGCATCACACAGAATTACCCGCTTTCTGCAGGAAATCCAGGACTCGGGGGGGCCCCAGGCTCTACCTACACCCTCTACTTGTGAGCAGCAGAGCCCCAGAGGAGCCACCTGCACCCAGCTATGACCCGTGGTCGATTAGAGGGTGTTTAGAGACTCCAGCTGAGGACAGCAGCGAGTCCCATGGGGACACGGCCGTGCTGGCGCCTCTGTGAGGAACAGGCCCTCCTGTGACAGCTACAAATCTCGGTGTCGAGCTGAAACGTACACTGGAATTAATCTTGACGTTTCTAGGGCTCGCAATCACAGCGGGTGACAAAAGCAAATTCTGGATCAGAGTCTTTCCTGCAGCAATTTAAACATATCTATTTTAAGGGAAGACTGAGTTAAACAAAGAGGTGACAGCCCAGAAGCTGAAAGCAGCAGTATGTGGCGTCCTGGGATTATGTTAAAATCGGGCAGGAAGAACGTCCTCCAAAATAGGTATTTTTAGTTAAGCAGGGAGCAAAAGTGCCACCGCGTCCCACAATCTCTGCGTTCACTCACTGACTCTACTCCTTTAGGTTGAACTGATTAAACTGGGGACTGGGTGGGTTAGGGGGGACAGGCCCCCAGGGCTGTCCCCTGGTGGGTGCTGCACAAGAGCCCCCCTCACCCATCGTAATGGGCCAGCGGGTGCCCCTGGCCATAAGCCCTTCTCCCCCCAGGTACCAGGGAGCAGCAACGCTGAGCAAAACCACCCACCTTCCTGCAGGAGGGGAAGGGGTCAGTTCTTGGAGAGGGGAATAACATGAAAATTAAACGGCTCAGTGGGAAATACAGAGGAGCGGGTTTTGCATCCATCTCCCCATGGCAGCAACGCGTCGAAGTACTAAGAAATGGTAGGAGAGATCGGGGACTTTAGTGGGGAAAAAGCTGCATTTTTTTTACTTCTGGATAATGAATGCTTGCGAGATGCCCCGCGGTCACGGGACGGGGGCTGGCGGTGGCAGCGGGGCCCGCGGGGCAGCTCCGGCTCCCTCGACAGCGAAGGCAGCTTCGCTGGCGGACACGGCCACGTCTCGGCGCGCGGTTCTGGCTCCACCGGCAGCGGAGACGAATCAGAAGAAACAGTGACACCTGCCGAAAGGAGAGGCTGCCTCCCTGGCGCCAGGGCTCGGCCTTGGGGCACTGCGGCACCAAGCGCGCTTTGCCCCAGCAAATCTTTCTTTAAAAACAGAGATTCTTTGAGGTGAACCCGTGGGCACAGCTGGAGATTTCAGCAGCCTGGAGCAGCTTCTCTGCCCGCTTTGGTTCGGGTGTCACCGAGCGCCAGGCGGCGGTTGCGAGTGGGGCCGGGTGACTCCGTTGTCGCTGCCTCCCTTTCTGCTGGTCACCTGCAGCCCCCAAGGCCCAGCCTGCTGGGAGGGCGCTCAGGGACGCACGCACGCGGCTCCCCAAGCCCGACGCGGTGGGCA